CGAACACGTGGGCCCATGTCCGTGCACGCGGGTAAACTGAACAAACCCTGCACAGTTTGAAACGGACCCAGTAAGGACTATGGGTTTGAACAGTACCGATGTACGGAGCCGGTCCTGTTCTGACACCATGTTGATCACTGCTGATCAGCGCTGCTATGAATGAGAGCACATTTGCATCTTCTCCACGGTGGGAGATTTATTTTCTGTCACGTTTGGATCAACGGAACAAAAAAACAAACACTCGGGTTTCAAACAGATGCTTCAGTTTCTAAATGTGACACTTGGACTGTAGGACCCGCTTTACTGTTCAGAACAAAAGAAAAAGACAGAACATGCCTTTTTTTATGTACGTGTTCAGAAAGCTGTCTTTGTTGAACAGAACCTTCAGAGCAGTAAGCGAGCTTTGATTGGTGATTTAACATTTGGGCCATAAAAACTCCTCGTCAGATTGGGCCCACCTCCACAGCTGACTGCTGTCTTAAACCCACTACGGCTCTTTACAATGTTTAAAGGTTTTGCTTTCTGTTTTACCTTACATGGTTTCTTCAGCAGGAATATCATGAAATTCCTGACAAACTTAACCCAAAAAGCTTTTTTAACTCATAAAAACCATAAAAAGACACCTAAATGACCTCAATGAGAAACTGCTGGTGGGGTTAGATTTGTGAAACAAAAAGCACAGAAACTGCTCTGAACTTTTAGAGACCGAACTTGTTTCAAGAGGCAGTCGACAGCAGGGGAAAATGGCTGAACTGTCCCTTTAAGGTCCAAAACAAGAAGCCAGGCTGGAAGCTCGGATTAAAAACAGAAAATTTAATTTGTGAGAAGCTTGGAATGACAAAGAAAAGTGGAAAGGTCCTTTAAGCTAATGGGATTGTTCATGTCCTGCTGCGACGGACAAGTTGTGACCTCACACACACCACATGCACACGCACGTGCACCCTCAGACTCAGTTTCTGATGCTGCGGTGACTTTGATGAAGCTCTCTGGAGGCTGTTTAGTCAGCCATGTTGTTTGATTCTTTCTGCCTCGTTTAAGCTCCTCCCTCTCTCCTCCATCTCACCTGTCCTCTTTTCATCCCCCCTGCCCCCCATACCATTATTTTAGCTGTTTGCACATCAAAACATTCGGCTCATGCAGGAGATGTTTGCTGTGAGTTTTAGTATTTTTTTCTTTTATAGTTTTTAAGATATTTTACTTTACGTGACATTTTTCTTTCATCCTCATCTCTTTTTTTTCAGCATCTCTTCTTGTCTCTGTCATCACTTTGTCTTTCCTAAACGCAGTGTTATTGTGTGTGTGTGTGTGTGTGTGTGTGTTCATGTGAGCAGTCATGTGATGAATGACTCGTTTTAGTGACAGATTAATTCAGAAGTGATTTACATCGTTCGGTTGTGTGAGCGTGGTGAGGTCGTAGCTTCAGCACAAGGCAGGCGTGATCAGTCCTGCTTTACGTCCATGCACACGACCCACATCATGAGCTCTCTGCCGCCATGCTCCACCAGGACCTCGTTACACTTCCTTCATGACCTGGCGACCGATGTTAGCATCAGAACCAAAACCCTGACTCTGTTAGTGTCCGAATGCTAATGCTAATGTCTAGTTCAGTAAATGACAAATGGTCTGCGATCAGAGACTTGGGCCCAGAAGTTCAAGCTGGAACGGGACTGTCGGCTGGTTCCAGTACAAGTGTGAAGCCCCGCCCCCTTCAGGAACTGTTGTTGGTGACACCTCAGATTATGTTTTTCAGCTGTGGCTCTTGAGTTGTTTATTCATCTTTCTAACACTCTCAACTGTAATTAGTTTCATGTTGCTTAAAGAGAGGTCATGTGACACCATGACTGTTTGTGGGGGAGTGGGCGGGGCTTAAAGCCCCACATCACTAGTGCACAGACTCTGGTTCCAAAAATCCAACATGACAGACTGTGAACCGGTCCAGCAACCAGAGGAGGTGGGATCAGTGGGTCTATCTGTGTAATAAGTCTCTTTAGTGGAACTGCAGCTGTTGAAGTGCTGGACCTCCTAAAGAACCTTAATAAAACTGTGCACGTGATGAAACTCGGGTTAAAAGTGTGCACGTGTTCACAGAAAAATTCCAGCCAAGCGTAAAGATGTCAGGCTGAAAGTGAGCTGCAGGACTGGGTCTGGACCTCGTTACCCGTGGTGACCACATATTCAATCATACACACACACACACTCTCCCTGCTTTGTATTGATTTATATTGACCCGTGGTTGTGTGGCGGTCCAGTCATTAAATTAACAGAGAACCTGATGACTCCAGCAGCCCTCTGTGTGCGTTTACTGAGGCAGAGGGAAAGTTAAAAGAAGAACAAAGATTTAAAAAGTGCTCACCTGAAGTCACTTCCTGCACACCTGAAGATGGAGAGAAACGCTGCATTTACAGTCCGCTGGGACAAATGAGCTCTTTATCAACGCATTAATTTTCATTTTCAGGAAATGATTAGCTATAATGAACTGCTTCAGAGAACAAAACAAGTGCTGGTATTTTTTAAGATTGGTGTTTAGGTCTCATTCTTAAATGGATAAGAATTCGTTTGGGACATTTTTGTCCATTCCAGGAAATTAAATTTTATGAGTTACATTTGTAGCCTTGATTCTTAGTTGAACTCATTTCTGTGTGATTTATTTAAAATCTGAAGTCAACCCGCTGCTGTTATGCCTCTCATCTTAGTGGCCATATTGTTTTGTAATAAGGGTTCAAGTGTCTGCAAGTACTGGGAAAATTAACTCTCGCGGTTATAGCAACGTTTCTGTCCTTAATAAAATAGACCCCTCCATGTAAATAATCAGATTACTTATGCTCGGCTCCTCTGCCTGTAATCTCATTACCTTCCTGCTGTCAGGACCTTCATGTCAGCTTCTTAAAGCCATTATTGTAACGAGAATAAGGTTTAAATAAACATGTTCCCAGTTTGTCTCTGCCGGGTTATAAACATCAGACTAGCAATAATTCACTTTAATAATAATTAATTCAATAATCAGAACCTAAATTATTTACCTTCAGTCTTTTCTGTTTGCTGAGCAGCATTGGATTCATTCTTTCTTGTGGATTTAGTCTGACAAACTTTCATTGAGCTGCAGTTTTGTCTATTAGATTGAGTGTGTGTGTGTGTGTGTGTGTGTGAGTGAGAGTGACAGAGTGACTGACCAGTGAAATAAGAATTAAAAATAGCCAGTCGTTGACTTTTGCTCATCGGAGCAGCTTCCTGTTTCCTGCTGGTTGTTCATCAGAGCAATAAAATGAGATCTACAGACGACCAGACAAACCTGTGTAGAGGGTGTGTCAGTCTGTGTGTGTGTGTGCGCGCGTGTGTGTGAAGCAGCTCGGACAGATAAGATATGGAACGATGACGATGAAGAGTCATGACAGCGATGCAGTAACTGTGAGGATGTGAGATCATATTGGTTTTCATCAGATACCAGAATGCAAACATGAACCCTGCTGCTGGTTTCCTTTCCCTCAGGTCCGATGTGCGTGTGTGCGTGTGCATGTGTGTTGTGTTGTGTCCTGCTTGGAAACCTGCCCGTCCCCAGAATGGACAGGGGTGGACGAGGTGGTGACATTTGGTAAAAAGCCTGTTGGAGGGTTCAGATTCAGTTGATGAATGGTGCTGCGTTCACTTCACACTCTGAAATAGGAAATATGAGCCTCTTGTGTTGCATCACTACATCCTCTACAGATTAACACCAAAATAAAATGGTAAATACTTAAAAACAACTTCAAAACAGTTTATAGAATTTATTAAAGTTAAAAACTCTGACTCACAATATTTGTTTAGTATAAAAGCATAAAAAATAAACACATTTAACGACAATAAACTGAAGAGTAATTTTACATTTACTAATTTTTACTCTTAAAAAACAATTTGCAAAACAATATAAAACTGAAGTAAATGAACTCTGTTCTTCAGGCTCGTATCATCACAAAGAAAAGTTTTTCACTCAGAATTAAAAGGTTAAAGTTTGATATAAAAACTTTGTCATTAACTTTGTTTTCTGCTTCCTGTTTAAGCTTCAGTTCAATCCTGAGCCCATTTATGTTGTTAAGACCGTGTTTTTCCTCTTCCTTTGCTCGATTGTTGTATCTTGTTGTGAGGGGAAATTTGTCCATCCATTCATCCGTGCACGTTGTGAGCACGATAACTTGGAAAATAAATCAGGTTCAGACTTTCATTATGATCTGGGGCTGCATCTAGGCGTAAGAAAGCTCTCTATTGAAAGTTGGGTTGCTACGTCAAAATTCAAAATGGCTACTACCATATATAAACCCCCAAACCCCCAGTCAAAATGCCTGATTCCTTCCTCCCCCAATTATTTAAGGAAACTATGCTTTCTACTTTTTATATTGCTTAAAAGTATAGTTTCCACAAACGATTGGGGTGGCCCTTTGGGGTGGGGTAATGTAAGGTGGCCAAGGCCACCATTGCGCCCCCGCTCGGCTCCACCATTGCTTTTGGTGATGGATAAAACTTCTTAAAACAAAAACCTCGCTCTGTTCTTCTCCAAAGAGTAACTCCTCCACTTGAATATTTTGCACCAAAAACATTTAGGTTTACTTCATTCTTTGTTGAATCCAGTCCAGAAAAACATTCATGTCCAGAACTACAAACATTCACTATTCAAATCCTTCAGCGATGGGGGACATTTGCATACTGCTTGTTTAGTTTTTTTACACCGTGTTGTAGTTCTGTCACCTGTGGGTTCCTGAGCTTGTCTGGATTTCCAGCCCTGCAGTTGGTGTTGTGGCATCATAGGGTTTGAAGTCAACCAGCTGCTCTTACACCTCTGAGCCGATGTGGGAGGTAGTCACAGAGCTGAGTGGGCAGGTAGGTTTGAAGTGGGGGTGGGGTGATGAGCCTGATCAAATGTCTAGTGGTGGTGTATGGTCTTCTACCTCTTAGCTGTGTCCTGAAGCGGTCTGAGAGCGTAGTGCCGGGACAGCCCCGGTACAACTGCAGGTGCTTGTGGTGGTGTCGCCATGGTAACGAACTGCTGGCATACAGAGAGATGTGAGGGAGCAGAAGAGCATCATGGGCATAAACAATAATAGGATGGGCCTGTTTGGTGAGAAGTAAGAGCGCCTCAAACATTCACACTTGTACTTTTTAAAAGTGGAGAGAAGTTCCACCGTTAACGGAACCACCTCATGAAGTCGTCTGGTGTCAGTTCAGCGAGTCAGCAGCTTTATGTTCCGAGTCAGGTTCAAGTTCAGGACAGATTTATTCTCATTCCCACAGGTTGAAACGTACGGCGCTAACAGATAACTGCTGCGCTCTGCAGCCGCTTTGTTCAAAATGAAAACGTGGGTTATTTAAACCAACTCAAACCTGTAACTAACGTTTCTGTTGGAGCCTTTTAAAGGTGGTTCTGGCTTCTGAGCCAATAAAGTTCTGAGTCAGGAACCGTTCGCCCCGTGAGTTAGGGTTTCTGCGGTCGATGTCCTAATGTGCAGATGGCCGTTTAACACCAAACCGCACAATAAAAGCAGATCAGGAGCAACCAGAGTGCGCACGAGCGGTGCACGAGCGTGCCTCTGAGGAACTCGTTGACGGGTCGCTGCTCTGCCGTGTAATTTGTTTGATATAAATGTCTGATCGGGCCGAAAGTGGAGGTTTTGGGTTGTGAACGCTTTAATCTGAACACGTTTAATGTGCAGCAGCAGCAGCGGGGCTCGCTGTTTAACTGCAGCTTACATTTCTGCTGACTGAACACACACACATCAACACACACACACACACACACACATCAACACACACACACATCAACACACACACACACACACACTTCAGTTGGCAAAGTGGGTCAAGTGGGTTCCTCATTACACTCAGGTTATTTAGCCAAAAAGCTGCTTGAATCAGATATTTATACATATTTTTAGGAAGCGAGCCGAAGTATTTCTATTTTATTCTAAACATATGTTCACAACAAACCCAACAAACACACACTCAGACACACACACTCCTTTACACACTCCCACACTCAACACACACACACCTCCTGCTCACAGCTGACACACATTTACATGAATCCATTAAAGCTGAATTTACATAATACAGTTTCTGCTTAGCTGCCTCTGCACACACACATGCACGCTCACACACACACACACACACACCTTGCTGCAGCGTGGACGACCTTGTGAGCAGCTCCGGTTCTGAACCACAGCCCCCGTGGGTTTTCTGCGCGTTGTGTTCTCCTGATGGCGTTAATGACGTCGGAGCCGACTCGATGACAGCAGCCAGCTGGCTCCGTCCTGACCGACAGGAGAAAATGTTTACAGACGAGGAAATAAAAACCTGATCTGCTGATGCTCCTGAAGGAGCAGGAGGAGGAGGAAACTGTAGCTGTGGCTCTCGGCAGGAAAAACGGAGTGTTTTGCGTTTCCTGCAAACACTAATGATATGAACCCACAATGTTTCTTTTGAGCAGAAAACTGGATCAGGTTTTTGCTGAAAAATGGCGTTCTGCGTTAAAGTTTCCTTCAGCTGATAACCCAATAATGAAACAGACGTGCGCTGCTGATCCTGCTAGCTCGTTTTCACCGGTCCGATGGCTCAGCGTGGACCAGGATGCAGCTTCTGTTGCAGCCTCGTCTTTCTATCAGAACCGTGTTTTCATCACCACCTCACAGGCTCGTTGAAACAAACCACATTTTCATCAGTTACAGCTAAAACTGAGACGTTTGTTCTGCTTTGAGCCTTAATTCTGGCGTGTTTTAGTCAAATGTTTTAACCATGAAGTCTCTCAGATCAGCTACTGAGCACATTTCTCATCTGTTCACAGGTCTGACGACGGAGGGTCTGTACCGGGTCTGCGGCAACAAGACGGACCAGGACAACTTGCAGAAACAATTCGATCAAGGTAAAACACTCGGCTGCCTGCACTCATCAGAACCTCAGAAACCAACCTTTGGAAAAGTTCAGCTGGTTCTTGTTTCTGCTGAATGTAAACCTGAATTATGCTCCCATAAACCCAAACTCTGCTGTTTAAGAACCCTTCTTTGAAATGGAGCAGCTCATGTGTGAAGTCCAATAAATTCAGCCTCCAGTGGAGCGATTGCGCACCTGACCACACCAACGCATGGGTCCAGCCTGCACACGATGCCTGGTGAGCTGCCAAAATGGCTGCTAGAATAAATAAAGTCATCACAGGCACAAGTTACTTCACGTGGCGCAGCGTGTGGGCAGTTAAACATGAGATATGTCGCCTAACATGTCTTTAACCCCCAGTAAATCACATTGTGTAGCTCTTTAGATTCATAAACCCTTCTTTTGTAAAACAAAGAAAACCAAATGTAAGCCTGGGTTTCATTTGGTTTATATTTTACAGTTTGGGTTAAAAAAATAAACGCATCCAGATGGAAAACGGTAAAAGGTCCCAGCTACAGTAACTCATGTCCCAGTAACTTTATACCCAACATGAATATTTAAATAACAGTGTTCAAGCAAACATGGGATAAAATTCACCACTTTAAAAACTTATAATTTAACCTCACTGGCACTAAGGTGTGTTCCTTCAGCTCTCGCATTATTCAGTATTAAAAAGGTTCCAGTAAAAATGAGTCAGGTGACCGACACTGACACAGTGTTAGGATGTAAAACCTCACGTTTGGAAATTATTTAAAAAATAAAGAGGGTTGGCTCAGACTAGCATGATGCATAAAAACAGGGATGTACATTTTATCCTCCGTGGATTTGTTGCTAATTATGATAAGATTATATAATTTCTTTAAATATTCGACCCCGTCTCTTGTTTAGTCCAGTTTAATCCTGTCTTACAAAGATTCAAGCTTCTTTATTTGTCATGCACACCACACGTGGTACATGGGGTGGAACAAAATTGTGTGCACTGTGTCCCAGTTCCATCCAACAAAAGTATAAGATGTGAAAGAAAAACAGTAAAAAGATCTAAGACATGAACTAAGAAAAACGTTAAAACTAAAAACACACTAAGCATTAATAGTATAAAAACAATACACCGAACAGCAGCACGAACACGTTTGAGCAGATGAGTATGAATGAACACAGCAGCATGAAATAAATCAGCAACATGATGTGATTATTCTGGTTAGAGATTCGTGAGTCGAACAGCCTCAGGGTAGAAGCTGTTCCTCAGTCTAGTGGTTCTACACTTAATGCTCCTCAACCTCCTTCCTGAGGGGAGCGAGGCAAAAAGTGTGTGTGCTGGGTGAGTGGGGTCCTTCATGATGCAGGTGGCCCTCTTCCTGCATCTGGAGGTGTAGATGTCTGTGATGGTGGGGAGACTGATTGGAACAGACTTCTGTGCAGCCTTCACCACTCTCTACCTCACCCGCTGTTGGGTCCTGTCTTACCCCGCCCCCTGTAGGGTCGTGTCTAACCCCGCCCCTTTTAAGGTAATGTCTAACCCAGCCCCCTGTAAGTTTATGTCTAACCCCGCCCCCTGTTGAGGTCTGTCTAACTCCGCCCCTTTTAAGGTTATGTCTAACTCAGCCCCCTGTAAGTTTGTCTAACCCTGCCCCCTGTTGGGTCCTGTCTTACCCCGCCCCCTGTTGAGGTCTGTCTAACTCCGCCCCTTTTAAAGTTATGTCTAACTCCACCCACTGTGAGGCCTGTCTAACCATGCCCCGTAAGGTTATGTCTAACCCCGCCCCCTGTAAGTTTATGTCTAACCCTGCCCCCTGTTGGGTTATGTCAAGCCACGCCCCCTCACCTTTCAGCTACAAACAGACCAACTTGCAGTGATTCCTGCTCGTTTCTTCGTTTCCTCCTGCAGCGCTCAACAACCTGTTCAGAAGCAGAAGACGCATCTTAACGAGCGCTAAGCTGCTGCTTTACGATTCAGAACCATTTCCTGTTTGTCCGTGTCCACTCAGTTTGGCGTCGCGGTTAGTTAATGCTTCCTCAGCCTCAGTCCTGCAGCGTAAAGCCCACACAGGAGCTACAGGTGCTAAAGCTAACCACACTAGCCGAGTTGTGTTTATTTCTCTCCTGGGGGGTGTGTGGGCGTCGGGGTGGGGTCGGTGTTGTGACGACTGGAAAAACTACTTGGTGTGCCTCTAGCAGAAAGGCTGTAAATGGTTGCGGCAATGTTACGAGACTCGATTATTCAGAAATCACTGCTCCTGTCCACACGACGGGTCTTTGTGGTGACCTGCTGAATGTTTGGGTCCTGATCCAGGAGCACAAATAAAAACAACAACACACAGTAAACAGTAAACACATGGTAGTACAGTTAGGAAATTACACATTTCTACAAAGGGATTCTGAGAGATGTCAAGTTTTTTTCTGTAACTTTGCCGTGACGGCTGACTCATCTTCCCTCAGGCTCGGTCTTCCTCCTCCTCCTCTTCATCTGTCATGTCGTGTGGCAGAAACTGAACTTACACACGTCTGACTTTTATCTTGTGTTGTTTTATTTTAACCTTTGAAATGTGGAGTTTACTGTACCCAAACACTGAGCCAAGATCCAAATACACCTTTTGTTTTAAATCAAGAGATGTTCTCAGAACCTGGACCAGAGGAGAAAACAGAGTTTGATCTGTAAACATGTTCTGATCAGTCAGAAGGATTGATGTAACCTGATAACCTTTGACCTCAGAGACTCGTCTGCTGCTGATCTCCACTCGAACAGAAGCATCGACACTAAACTTCAGGGTACTTTTGTAACACCTGTTCCCTGAGTCTCGCATTGGGAACACAGTCAGCGTGACCTCATCCGAGGTTCCTGTAACGTCACGCAACCGGACCGGCTTGGCACGAAGTTGAGACACCGACCCGACGTGTGCCTCAGTTTGAAACGTGCCCAGGCAGCACCTGAGTCTCATCAGCTGCTTCTTCCTCAAGGTGCTTCATCGCCATCTTCATCGGGGGTGGTGGGTGTCGGTCCTGGACTGTGAGGGTTTGTGAAAGTTTGGCCTCTGTCAGTCGTCCCCAGTTGAGCCGGTGGTTGGACCCAACAACCTCCATATCAAAGAGGGCTCTGCTTTCTCCTCCAGAACGGACCGCCTCGGCTCTGCTGATCAGCAGATGATTGCCTCAGCAGAGGCTGCGATTTAAGGATCACTGTCTCCACCTCCACAGTTTGACCGTCCAGGTTCTGGTCACCATGGACCTGACAGTCCTGCAGGATGTCTTCAGGTTTCTTGTACTGTCAGAAATAAAACCCTGGGTTTAAAATAACAGCGTGAAGTGGTCCTCCTGAACCCGTCCCGGTGGTTCTGCTCCTCACCGTCTCTCTCTCCTCCCAGATCACAGCATCGACTTCATGGCCATGGACGTGGCGGTGAACGCCGTCGCCGGAGCGCTGAAGGCCTTCTTTGCTGACCTGCCCGACCCGCTGATCCCGTACAGCCTGCACCCGGAGCTGCTGGAGGCTTCAAGTAAGATCCTCAGTTACATCATTGTTCCCTGAACTCTTCTTTTCTGCTGCGCTCAGAGGACAAGAACCAGTTAGAGTCTCTGAAGGTGATGAAACGTGAAACAGCCTCTTTATTTCATGGAGTGAATGTTCTTATTGTTGTTTATTATTTATTATTCCCTTTGGGATTAATAAAGTGTTTTTGAATTGAATTAGATCCGCTCGTTTTAAGGAGGCACAGAGCTGGAAAACTTTTCATCTGAATAAAAATAGAATCCACTCAGACAATCCTTTGGTCTAATCTAAAAATGAATTTAATACATGAAGCACGAAGACACTTCCGACCTCTCGATGACCACCTTCGTTCTCACGACTCGTAGAGCGTGGCTCGTCTCACAGTAGAGAAATAACCAAGAGGTTTTTCCTGCTGTAAACTCTAGCAGCACATCCTTACGACGGTGACGCCAACGGCTACAGTCCGCCCTGCCATGACTCTCCTGGATCGGGTCAGGGCGGAGCTACAAGCTGGGAGGTCCCGTCACGCTACGTCACAGGTGACTTCAAGGTAGTTTCTGTCTGAGCTGCGACGAGTTAGACACAAAATACTCAGAAAACATGACGCCTACGTATTACTACTACTGAAGACACTGACACATTCCAGCCTGTGAGGTTTAAGTGTCTTTTTTTTTTTAAGTGTTTTTGTTTCGTCTGCAGTTTGTTGTTTTCTCTCTGCAGTCAATCCCGGTTTAGTTTCACGGCTTGACCGAGGAGTCTCAGACGTCAGTCGTGAAACCTCTAAAAGTACTGACTAGTTGTCAAATGTGTTTCCAGAACCGAGAGATGAATTTGGACCCATTTGGGAGCTCCTCTTTAACAGAAAACATCCGGGTCTAAAAACATCTCTGATGATAAATAATAAATAAAAACTGGTCCAAGTCATTCCTGAAGTGGAGTCCAGCTGAATAAATCCTAGCTGTGACAAGGTGGGAACAGAGTGAACCAAGATTTAAGTGTTTTTACGGAATAAAGCCTTTTGAAAACAACCGTTGACCAAAGTCCTGAACGTCAAAAAGTGAAGAAATGACAAGAAAGCACAAAAACAAACAACGAGTAAAACAATAAACGCTGAAAACAGGAGGATATTAAAACGATGGATAAAACGTTTGTGGAGACGGGAAACAAAGTGATGAAGATACAGTCTTACAAGCCGTAAACAGCAGAAAAAGGCTAAAGTTTTAAAAACGGGCGCTCTGAAAGCGACACCGGCGCCTCCTCGAGTGACCTTCATCCTGCCTGGTGGCACACGTCTTCATCTCTGCAGAGCTCCACACTTCCTCTTCATCGTTCACACTTAAGAGGCTTTTTCCAGCCTCGGGATGCTGTCAGACGCTCGGCTCATCTTTTAGCTGCTGCTGAGAAAAACCAGGCTGACAACCGCAGATTAATGAAGCCGAAATACTCTGAAGGATGAAGAAGGAGGCGGCACTCCTCCTCCTCCTCCCTCTGCTGCTCTCAGGCTGCACTTTTAGAGATTTTATGGTTAAAAACGTCTCAAGATATAAATGAAAATCAGTTTCATCTGGTTCTCAGCAAAGTTCTGACTCGGTCCAAAACAAGGGGCAGAAAAACAGATTCAGTAAAAATAAAACAAAAAAAATTGTTTTATTTTTTCTGTTTAGAGTTAATTTTTCTGCCTTTCAGCACCAAACTTCAGCTGTTTTAACTCCTCGTATATCAAACTCTTCTGCTCATTTTAGTGATGAGTTAATATTTAACTTTGCTACACTTTTTAAATTTTATTGTAAGAAATTGTGATTTTGAACTTTAGCTTTTACATATTTGTTTAGCTATTTTCACGTTTTAGCTATAGGTATGCTAACTGTAGCTTTGTTCTGCTTGTTTTTAATTTAATTTTTCAGCTTCAAGTTTTCGGCTGTCATTCAGCCACTGATCCGATTGGTTCCCCTCCTTCTCTACCTGTGGTTCTGTAGATGACCAGAACCCTTGGTGGTTCTGTAGAAGGACAGAACTGTTAGTGGTTCTGTAGAAGGACCGATAACTTATTGATAAAACAGATGAAAGCGTTTCATTGTGGTGAACTGACTCCAGCTGTGACAACATGGATCATTGACCTTTGACCTCTGAGAGCCATTAGATTGTCAGGTTCTGACGTTGGCTGCTCATTAAGATGATTGATGGTGTGTGTATGTGTGTTTCTTTGTGTGTGCGTGTCCAGCTGTCTCCCACCGGCCCTGACACCTTTGTCGTGTCTCTGTATGGTCAGGTTTAGTTCTGACAGCTGAAGGTAGAAGCTCCGAGGTCACATCAGCTTTAATTTGTTTTAAGTGTAAACCTTCGGCTGCTTCAGGCCTGCAGCTTCTAACGATGCTGCAGGACATGAGACAGGACAGGAGTTGTTGGACTCATCACAGCAGCTCGTATCTCCAGCTGCTCCTGGCTCCATCTCAGCCTTTTGTGATGTAGGAGAACTCCTGGATCCTCAGTGGTTCAGGAGAAGACGACAGGACTCCTTCTGTTGCTCCTAAAGACGTTCCACCTCTGATCCAAAAGACTTCTTCGGTTCCTTCAGCCTGTTTGGTGACATGTGCAACGTCTACAAGAACCAAGAGAGGAAGTCCAGAACATTAATGATCCACCTTCTGTCTCCCTCTGTGTGTCAGAAATCGTGGACTACATCGAGCGCGTTCAGGTCCTACGAGAGATTGTGAAGAAGTTCCCCTCTGTCAACTACCAGGTCTTCAAATACATCATCACACACTTGAACAGGTAAATAACACACACACACGGACAGGTAAATA